CCACGTCACCCTCCTGAGTAGCTGGGATTACAGGCACATACCACCATGGCTGTCTAATTTTTGTACTTTAGTAGACGGGGTTTCACCATGTTGGCCTGGCTGGTCTTGAACTCCTGACTTCAGGTGATCTGCCCATCTTGACCTCCCAGTGTTGGGATTACAGGCGTGAGCCACTGCGCCAGCCAGGTATTTAATTTTGAGGGCTTTGATGGTGGTGATGATGATAGTGATAATACCACCACGTTTCTAAGCACCTTTCTAAGTTTGACACTCACCCATATATATGATCTTCACAGCACCCTGGGAGGCCTCTGCTTGTTGTCCCCATTCTCCAGGTGTGGAAGCACAGGCTCAGGGAGATTAAGTCCCTTCCCTCAGGGCTCACAGCTGGTAAGTGACAGGATTGGGATTCAAACTGAGACAGTCTATCTGCAGACCCCACTCCAGACTTCTGTCCTGTCCTGGCCCAGCCAAAGGAGAACTTACTAGCAAAAAAGTGACGTGATCTGGCGGAAGCATCATTGGCTTGAATCTGGGAGAGAGGGCAACAGCATAGCCCCCTTCCCTGCCCCCTGTGATCCCACTGTGCCTGAAATGACACTGCCTCTCTGTTCTTCCCTCCCAGCTGGGACCTGGCAGACCCCTGCCCACCTTCCCCACCTCAGAATGCACCTCAGATGTGGAGCCGGACACCCGGGAGATGGTGCGTGCCCAGAACAAGAAAAAGAAGAAATCTGGAGGCTTCCAGTCCATGGGTGGGTGCAAGTTTGGCATCGGGGACTTTGTGGGAGCGGCAGCTGGGGATTGACCCCGCCTCTGCACTCCATCACTGATGTCCACTCTGATCTCAGCACTGTGGTTGGGTAGACTAGGGTAGCAGATCTGGTCTCCCAGTCATTCAGGTCCTTCTAGCGGGGCAGTGTGCCTGACATAGGAGAGGGCAATTAGAACAGGCCTCGGGAAAGGCGATGCAGATGCAGGAACAGACAAAGACAGTCGGGGACTTACTGCATGCAGAGGGGCATTTCAGAAGGAGGGAAAGGATGGAATAGGTTGGTGGTGTGGGGACACCTGGCTGGCCGGAATTAAAGCCTGACTGTTACTCTTTACAAATCAGTAGCAGCTAGAGCAAGGATTCAACTATCAAGACGAGTGCCGGGTACGGTGGCTCATGCTGTTATCTTAGCGTTTGGGGAGGCAGAGGTGGGGTCACTTGAGGCCAGGAGTTCAAGTCCAGCCTAAGCAACAAAGCGAGCTCCCATCCATGCCCTCACCCTCTTGTCCCTCCCCACCACCTGGGTGATTCTGAAGTTTGTTCCAGACATCCTCATTGTGTCCGCACACACTTCTGAGAGGCGCAGGACCTTACCACACCTAAAACGAAGGCACAGCTTCTCAGTGTCGTCTAAGACCCCATTAGCGTTCAGAGATCCCTGCTGTCTCATGACATCAAGAGTGGGTTCACATCAGAAAAGCAAATAAGGTTCAAGTGCCCCAGTCAGATCTGTCTCCTAAGTCTCATTTCACCTTTCAGTTTCTGCTTTATTGCTTTTTTTCTTGTTGTTTATTGTTGATGAAGCTGTCATTTGTCCTGTAAAGTTCTCTGTGGTTGGTGCTGCGGGGACTCCCTTGGCCCCCTGACGGTTCCATGTCTCTCCCAGGCCTAAGCTACCCGGTGTTCAAAGGCATCATGAAGAAGGGGTACAAGGTGCCGACGCCCATCCAGAGGAAGGTGAGGGGTGGGGCGGTCGACGGGTGAGGGCCAGGGAGGATTGACATGGCCCTCTTGTCTGGCCCCTTGACAGCCACCCCTTGTCCCAGCTGTCATATCTCTTGCCCTCTTTACTCCGCTGAAGCCCCAGCTAGCGTGCCCACGTCCTCAGTGGAGAAGGTTGGGCCGAGCTGAGCAGAGACTCTGGGCCTTTCTGCCAGTTGAGCCTCCCAGAGGCTTCCCACAACTAAGCCTCAGCTCAGGCAACTCGCAGCCACCTATTATCATCCAGGGATTATGATTATTGTTCTCAGATGCTTCACCCAGTGGGAGCCATCTCTCTGGGGTGCTGAGGAGGACTGGACAGGAGGTAGAGTCTGCTCCGCCTGAAGAAGGGTGTTCCAGCAATGGAAAGAGTTGGGGTAGTGAGCCGCTTATCCTTAGAGGCGTGCTAACAGGCTTTTGAAAGAATGGGCAAGAATAGGCTTAAGGCTGGGTGACAGGTGCCTGCCCATTCACTGAGATCCGTAGCGCGCCCACTCCTCAGGACCTTGAAGCTCTGGATCATGTGGTGTTTGGGAGGAGCTGACCCTGACCTTCCCTGCTTGTGCCTCTCCAGACCATCCCAGTGATCTTGGATGGCAAGGACGTGGTGGCCATGGCCCGGACGGGCAGTGGCAAGACGGCCTGCTTCCTCCTCCCCATGTTCGAGCGGCTCAAGACCCACAGTGCCCAGACTGGGGCCCGTGCCCTCATCCTCTCGCCCACCCGAGAGCTGGCCCTGCAGACCCTGAAGTTCACTAAGGAGGTGTGTGTGGGCTTGGGGAGAGGTGGGAGGCGAGGGCTGACTTGGGACCGGGCACAAAGGCCACGAGTGTGCTGTCATCTCACTCCTGCCCTCTCTCAATCACTTTCTCTTCTCAGCTAGGCAAGTTCACTGGCCTCAAGACTGCCCTGATCCTGGGTGGAGACAGGTAAGGTCCCTGCACCGCACGCCAGGGTCACCACCGTGCAGGCACATCTCTGTGTCTCCAGGACAAGGACATTAGTTTGATTTAGCTCTGTTGCTTATTAATAATGGCAACTTCTGTGCTCATTCAAAAAAACCAACAAGACTGGGCCCAGTGGGAAATGCCTGTAATCCCAGCACTCTGGGAGGCCGAGGCGGGCAGATCCTCTGAGGTCAGGAGTTCGAGACCAGCCTGACCAATATAGTGGAACCCTGTCTGTACTAAAAATACAAAAATTAGCTGGGCGTGGTGGCGCATGCCTGTAATCCCAGCTACAGTGGAGGCTGAGAAAGGAGAATCACTTGAACCCGGGAGGTAGAGGTTGCAGTGAGCCGAGATGGCACTACTGCACTCCAACCTGGGTGACCGAGCAAGACTCTGTCTCAAAAGAAAAAGAAAAAACAAAACAAAAACCCAACAAGGCTGGTCCAGTGGTAGCAGGTTATCAGAACTTGCCAACATTAGTATCATTAAAGTTGGTGTACAACCCCCTCACTGCTAAATTTGACTGGCTTAAGAAAAAAAAACCAACAAAGGAAATCCTACAATAAAACGTTAAAATAAATTGTCCACAGAAGCACTGCCGCTCAGAAGTTCTGATGCTCCTGAAATAGAGTCGTCAGCTCACAGGATAGACAGGCGTATCTACTTTAATATGCCTAATTGTGGGCTTGGTTTTTGTTTTTTGTTTGTTTATTTTGAGACAAGGTCTCGCTCTGTCACCCTGGCTGGAGTGCAGTGGCGCACTCACAGCTCACAGCAGCCTCAGCCTCCTGGGCTCAAGTGATCCTCCCACGTCAGCCTCCCCAGTAGCTGGCACTACAGGTGTGCACCACCACGCCCAGCTAATTTTTGTGTTTTTTGTAGAGATGAGGTTTCGCCGTGTTGCTTAGGCTGGTCTTGAATTCCTGGGCTGCAGCGATCTGCTGCTTTGGCCTCCCAAAGTGTTAGGATTACAGGCATAAGCCACCATGCCTGGCTGTGGGCTGTTTGGAAGCAGAAAGCACAGGAATTGAGGGATATTTATAATAGCTCAGATTCGTAAGCTGTATTATCGCCTGATGTGCAGGTACCACCCTTCCTAGGTAGTAGGTGCCACACCTGTTTTACAGATGAGCAAAATGAGGAAGTGACAGGTTAGAGCCAGGCAATGATTCCGTAGTGGAGCTGGGATCAGAATCCAGTCTCCTGCCTCATTCCATGCCTTATCCCACAGTTTCTGCCTTAAAGAGCAGCCCCTTTAAGGGAGAAAGTTTAAGGATGCTGCTGTTAACACTCTTGATTCTCAGAGAGTTTGCTTTTCAGTGCTTTTGTCTCCATTGTCATTTATTCTTTCTAAAGTTTGTGATTGTCAGAAAGGCCTCCCTGGGCTAGTCCTGGCCCAGGGCTACCCTGGCTCCTACAGGTATCCCAAGGGTGCTTCAGAAGAAGACTAAAAGTAGGGATGTGTGTCCAAAGGGTTTAAGGACGAGAGCTGACAGAGATCCGGGGAACCTGAGTTCTAGTTGGAGCTGGTAGTTCCAGGGTTAGTTGCTGGGGGCGCTGTGGGTAGAAGGCAGCTTTGTTGCTATCTGGACCAACAGAAGGAGTGAATTGAGGTCTGTAGTTGAGCCCATCTCTTTGGGGGAACTCTGTTATAACCGTTCTTTTGACTATTTCAGCTTGTATCTCTTGTCAGGGCAATGCCTTTGCCTCACCTCAGCACTGGCCTTTCCTCAGTTCCAAGCCTCGGGTGTGTGTTCCTGGGGTTGGGGTGTGCAGCCTCACCTGGACGTTTGGTTATGGGAAGGGAAACCGGAGACCTGTTCTATCAAGCTAAAACCCTTCTCTCCTCTCTAGGATGGAAGACCAGTTTGCAGCCCTGCACGAAAATCCCGACATGTGAGTTTGTGGATTGGGGATGACTCCCTGAGGTCCCTTCCCAGTGGTGGGGGTGTAAGAGAACTATGGTGGTGGCCCTGGCCCTGGGGTCACCTGGCCTGTGCACCCTCTTCCAGAATTATTGCCACGCCCGGACGGTTGGTGCATGTGGCTGTGGAAATGAACCTGAAGCTGCAGAGTGTGGAATACGTGGTGTTCGATGAAGCCGACCGGTAAGGCTGCAGGTCAGCCCTGAGCACTTGTGTCTGAACTGGGAAAGCGGAGGCAGAGAGGTCAACCAGAGGAAGGCTCTGCCGGGAGAGACCCGTGTGGCCAAGATCGAAGCAGTGTCTCCCCAGATGTGGGCTGCAGACCTCCTCATAAGTGGTGCTGGAGCTCGTCTGTGGGGCTCTCTGACCAATATTTATAATTTTGCATTTCAGGAGTATTGAAATAAATAGTAGGACATCTAACATGGGATTTATTTATTTATTCATTTATTTTTGAGATGGAGTCTCGCTCTGTCACACAGGCTAGAGTGCAATGGCACAATCTTGGCTCATTGCAACCTCCGCCTCCCAGGTTCAAGTGATTCTCCTGCCTCAGCCTGTTGTGTAGCTGGGGTTACAAGCACACGCCACCATGCCCAGCTAATTTTGTATTTTTAGTAGAGATGGGGTTTCAACCATGTTGGCCAGGCTGGTCTCGAACTCCTGACCTCAGGTGATCCACCCGCCTTGGCCTCCCAAAGTACTGGGATTACAGGCACGAACCACAGTGCCCGGCCCCTAACGTGGGATTTCAAAGATATTTTTTTAAAAGCACAAAGTTGAGAGCATGGACTCAGGAGCCAGACAGGAGTGGGATCCAGTCCTAGCTCTGCAACTTCAGCTCTGAATTTGGGCAAATCACTGGGCATCTCTGGGCCTTGGCTGCTTCAACTGCAAAATGGGGATAAAGTAGCATGTACCTCCCAGGGGTGCTGTGAGGACCCGAAGACTTGATACTTGTAAAGTACTTAGAACCCTCCCTGGCAGAGTTGGGGAGGGGGAGGTGGGGAAAGAGGGGAGGGACTGCTGTCATTGATTGATTGATGGTGACAGGGTCTTGCTCTGTCGCCCAGTCTGGTGTGATGATGGCTCACTGCAGCCTTGACCTCCCAGGCTCAAGGGATCCACCCACCTTAGCCTCCTGAGTAGCTGAGGGTATAGGCATTCGCCACCACGCTCAGCTAATTGTTTTTTTTTGTTTTGTTTTGTTTTGTTTTGTTTTGTTTTTGAGATGGAGTCTCGCTCTGTCACCCAGGCTGGAGTTTAGTGGTGCGATGTTGGCTCACTGCAGGCTCTGCCTCTCGGGTTCATGCCATTCTCCTGCCTCAGCCTCCCGAGTAGCTGGGACTACAGGCGCCTGTCACCACGCCCGGCTAATTTTTTTTTGTATTTTTATTACGGACGGGGTTTCACCATGTTAGCCAGGATGGTCT